TATAAATACACACACACACACACACACACACATTCAGTATATATGTATGTATGTATATACATTTATATTATTATATTTCATGTTATATATAAATATATTTAATACATAAACATAACATTTGTTTCTTAAATATATACACATGCATGTGTTTGTATTTATATATACATAATAAATATACACAGTACACACTCATATATTATGTAAACAAAAAACATTTATTTTGCATGCGATTAATCTCGATTAATCATTTGACAGCACTAATAATTATTATTAACAATAATGATAAAAACAATAATAATAATTATTATTTTTATTATTATAGAAATAATTGTGTCAACAATAAGCAAGTAGTACATTATTAACAAACAATACTAAATTATTAATGTTGTTAGTAGTAGAAGCAGTAAAAATTATGGGATATTATTACTAATATTAAGGTTAATAAATCCCTATTACCAAGAAATACTTCAAATTACCATATTTCTTAAATCAATAAGAAATGCTTTAAAAAGTTCAAAGAACAATAAAAAAAAAGCGACTACTGTGCTCATAATGTGTTTTAAATGTAGGTACCACTGTGGTACCACATGGTCTGTTTACCATTTCTGAATTTAGGGGTTCACATTCAAGTAAGTCACTTCTGAATCAAGTATCTGAAGAATCAGTAAATTTGTGATCTTCTCCTCACCATTGGCAAAGGTCTGGCTGATATAGTAGGTCACCTCGTCCACATTAGTTTTGCTTTTGTTAAATGCAGAGAACTGTGTGGAATTGACGAAATCACTCTGTCTGGGACTGCAGGTAAGCTCGCAGAACAGGGTCATGAAGTTGAAGAAACATGCCGGACACCTGACACACAAAAACAGAAACAACTTACAGCTTTTATGAAGTGCATATTATTTTACTGCCGGTGATTCTCCGGGTGATTCTCCCACTGTAAGCTGTGTCAGACAAGTACATGTTATTTGGTTTCAACTGAAAACGTGACTTGGATGAATAAATAACCTGCTCGTGACTAGTGGTCGACCGATATATCGCCAAAGCCGATATATCGGCCGATATTTGGCACTTTTTAAATATCGGCATCGGCCGATACGTTTTCCTGTTTGGCCGATGCGTTCGAGGCGGGACTTTTATTTTGACGGCGCTGAGAACGGCAGCGACTGGGCACACAGTGCTCACATTCCCCCTCTTGTTCGCCGTTGTCGTTAACAGTTCTGTCTAAATACGGATAGAAGTCTGTCTAATAATCAGATAGAACGGTTAAACAAAGGGATAAAATGTATACAAAAAGTCTTATAACGACTGCTTTTATATTATTAGTAATAGAAAGGCAAACATTATAATAACTTTCTTGTTTGCCATCAGCACTCAGCAAATACGCATTTATATCATTTAAACAAATCTTTGAATGTCTAATAAACAACCAATTTCAAAAACCTTGCAAACTTAGTCGGGTCCAGTTGTGAGATCCTGTGAAGTGTGTATGTGTATCCTGCATGATGGCGTGTTCTCTGTGTGACGATCGGTCCGTGCGAATTGAATGCTGACAGGAGGAGAGTTCAGCTTCACTAGAGACGCGCGATCGACAAACTTTAAACTAGTGATTTTAAATTATGCTGCGCTTTATGCATTTTCCCACGGTCGTATTCATGTCATTTTCACTGTGTGCTGTATGTAAAATGAGTGTTACCTTGGCTTTATTTGAAAAAATATGATTAATGCACACAAACTTTCCAGAATACTGAGTGCCCTTACGGTTACAGTGTTTACTTCCTTTTTAATTATATTTTTATTACATATTTATTTATATGTGAAAATACTTTGTCATCTAAAGTATAAGTATGTTTATTTAACATTTATTTTTTAATCAATTTTCAAATGATTTCAAATTTCTTAAATATTAATTAAAATAAATAAAATTATATCGGCTTTATATCGGCCATTGGCAACCATGCTTTCCAAGATATCGGCATCGGCTGTCAAAAAAACAATATCGGTCGACCACTACTCGTGACTCAATAATGGGTCAAAGTTCTTATGCCACACAGCTATCTTACAGTATATCTTTATAGATATATATCAGTCATACCTGGACAGGTACTGAAGGGGGATCTGAATATTGTTTTTCAGTGTCTTGAGCTGTTGGGTGTCACAGCAAACTTTGTTGTCCCCATAGACCAGTCCTGGGCACAGCTCCTGCAAACAGTGTGAGAGGTCACACAAATGATTTCGCTTTCAATGAAATCATTCTCTTAACAGGTTGTTAAAAAAGCAAAATAGAATCTACTGCAAATAGATTCTGGTCAATTTGAGTCAGGAAAATAGAAACAAAAAATGCTGTATACTTAAACGACCCTTCTTTTTGAATTTTATCAAATTTTAGAAAATCAAAATAAAATTGAAAAAATTAAAATAAATGTAAAAAAATATACTGTATTACAGCAATGAGAATCACCATGAATATGAAAACAATAGGATTGTTCTACACAAAAAAAAAGCAAAGCAAAAGTCATCCTGATGCATAAGAATTTCTAATATATATAAAAATTAACTAAAAAAAAATCAAAATATTTAAGATATAACACTCATAAAACGTTCTCTTTTCCTTTAGATTTTGGGGTAAAATAGGACCTGGACATATGTTTGTGATCGCTTTTGACGACAATTTAAATAAAATCCTACTTGATTCTTTACTAACTGTTTGTCTCAAAAACGGAAGAATGCTTTAAAATGGTCTAAAAACAGACCCTCATTTTGCAATTCTGTTTGGTGGCACTAGTGGCGTAGAAATGACACACTTCACTAAATCTCCAACATTCAATTTTCATTGTATGTGCATGTAAATAGAGGTGGCCCAGAACACTGAAATGTGTTACCTACTGTAGTCTATAGGGCTTTATGGGTTCCTAAGATTTAAAGTACAGGAAATGCAAAGTGTGACGATATCACCCATGACTGAACAGTGTCTGCTCACATTAAATTCTTCAAACATTGATTCAGATTTTTTTTTTCCCACTTTTTAACACCACGCCAGCATCAAGCCTATTTTCCATGGCGATCTCGGAATAAATTACACAATGTATACAATTAACAAAAAGTTATCCACCTTTTTCTTGCCGTAAAAATGGGCGCGGCAGAACCGCTCCTTTTGCTGCTTGATATTGAAAATTGGTGTGTCTTACCATATTATTTTAATGTATTATCTTAATTATGAATAGAGGTCGACCGATAGTGGATTTTGCCGATACCGATAGCTAGGTTGGACCACACTGGCCGATACCGATTAATTAACCGATAGTTTTAAAATTGATACTGAACAAAAACTAAAATAGTGCTTTATTAAACAAAAACAGTACTGAACCATGTTAGTAGTAGTAGTAAAAATAATAATAATAATAATAGCAATAGTAATAGTAAATAGAAATTAACACACTCTAAAAAGGAACAATACTTACACAGCTTTCATTAATCTTAATGCTACAAATGGACTCTTATT